GTGTTGTATCGCATACAAAAAATAAACTTCGCTCGTTAAATTTTGAGTGTTCTGTGAGTTTCAGAAAATGGTGAAAATTTGCTTATAAAAATGGCGTCCGAGGGGGTCGAATAAAGTGATGCTCGTATCTCTAATACAAGAGCAGTAAAGAACCTATGTTTGGTATATTTGTCCATTACTCCACCAGACCTATCTATGATGTTAGTATGAACTTATTCTGTTGACCCCCTTCCGTTGACATTTTTAACATTTTGCCCGGTTTTCTCTGACAACCACTCTTAAACTTATGATATGGCGGGCACTTGAGACCAGGCGGTACAGTCTCCCAGATTTTAGGAGCGGAGAATTTAAAGGACGTCTTACCTAATTTGGTGGATACTCTTGGCCTAAAATACTGTAATAGCCCGCGTATAAGAACCTGGGTTTTAAGAACCTGTTAGGCTAAAATTTTCATTTTAAGCCCCCTCCACATAAGAACCTATTTAGGCTAAAATTTTAAGTTAGGTTCTTATCAAAGTGGGGTTGCTGTAAAAGTGTATAGGTAGAAGCTTTCTTTGTTATGTTTTGTTAAGGACATATGCTGTACCTGCATTGAACTGCCTATAGGCATTGCTCTATGGTACAAATAAATGATTTATACTGTATTATAAGATGACATTTATAATATATATAGTATATTCAGATGAAATTCATATGAAAATATAAGAACCTATTTTAAGAACCTCGGTAGCCTAAATTTGCTTTAAGTACCATTTATATAAGAACCTATTTAGGCTAAATTGAAAAATTCAGGTTCTTATACGCGGGCTATTACTGTAGTTCAGATTACTGACAAATCTTGTATTATGATTGTGTATACGCGATGCTGGAGTCAGGACATCAAGGAAAATATCTGGAATGCTATCAGTCTCAGTTCTCATTCTATTTATAAAGCAACATATTTTTAATTTATATATATTATCTAATTTGAGGATTGTTAGGAGTTTGAAATAGGGAGCAGCACTCTCTCTAGGATGTACAAAGAAGATGGTGCGGAGACATTTGTTATGCTTAATACGAAGACAATCTAATCTGGTTTTGCTGGCACAGCCCCAAGCAAGAATACCGTAACTCAAATACGGATATATTAAAGCATAATAAATTTGTTTCAGTATATTCAGATCTATGTAATGTCTTAGTTTTGAAAGGATTCCTAAATTTTTAGCTAATTTATTATTTACATGTTGTATCTGTGGTTGCCAGTTGAGATGTTTATCTATATAAACTCCCAAGCACTAATCTTTCTGTTCAATACTAGTGATATTTATCTTTGGGTGGCACCTAGATGATAAGACTAACATGTAATTAGTCTTTGCAGTATTAATAGATAACTTATTTAGAGCACAGTAGTTATAAAGTTGTTTAAGCTCTTGATTCATTACGGATTCAAGCTGTTTTAAGTTGTCGCTAGAGTAAAATAAATTGGTGTCATCTGCAAAGCTCCGCACCGAAAGTTTGTTGACACAGTTTGGTAAGTCGTTCACATAGAGCAAAAATAAAATAGGACCTAGAGTTGAGCCTTGGGGTATACCGCAGGTATTATTTTCATAGCTAGATTTAGTAGAGTCAATTTTAGCATATTGTCTTCGATTGTGCAAATAACTTTCAAACCAATTATGTGGTGCACCCCTAATTCCATACAGATATAGTTTAGAGAGCAGTATTTTATGATTTACTGTTTCAAATGCCTTTGATAGGTCGAGAAATAAACCACATGTTATTTAACCTTTGTCAGTAGCTAGCTTCAGATTGTCAGTAATTTCAAGAATAGCTTGTTCAGTGGAATATCCTTTCCTAAATCCAAACTGATACTTGTACAAGATTTGATGTTCATCTATGAACAAATATATATGATTATAGACTAGACGCTCGAGCACTTTACTAAAAGGTGAGAGAGTTGCTATGGGCGGATAGTTGCTAGGGTCTGTAGCATCACCACCCTTATACACTGGGGAAATTTGTGAGATTTTTAAAATATCAGGAACAATTCCAGTTTCAATAGACTGGTTATAGATATATGTTAAAGGTATTGACAATGGCTGGGCAGCTATTTTAATTAATTTATTAGGAATATCTAAGGATGACTTATGATCATTTTCTAAACCTTTAAATAGTGAACATACTTGGGTTTCAGTAACACAGGACATAACAAACCTAGCTACTGGAGTCGATCTTATGAATTAGGTCGGACTTCCATCACAATTTTCAATTCTTTTGGCCAGGTTTTGACCCACATTGACAAAATGCTTATTAAATTGATCGGCAATCTCAGCCTTATTAGTGTAAGCTCTATTATTACGTTTAATTTTCGAGATGGGGTTTTGTCCCTTTTAGTTGCGCTTAACTAGCATACCAATCAATTTCCAAGATGCCTTCAGGTTGTTTTTACATAGGTCAAAGTGTTGTGAAAAGCAGTTCTTTTTGCAAATGTTCTAAAGCCAATTCAGTTTGTTAGCATACTTTTTATATTCCGTCACCTTAATTGGATTGTTAGAAAGAAAGTGTATTTTGTATAATTTATGCCTAGTTTTGATTGATTTAAGAATACCATTAGTTATCCGCGGCTTAGTACACAATTTCTGTTTCTTTTTGGGACAATTGCCTAATTGGTGCATGTTTACCTGCAAATGATTTAATCAGGTCAGTTATTTTAGTAGCTGTCTCATGCAGATCATTTCTATAGATAGCATTCCAGTTGACTCCATTGATATCTTCTAAGTAAGATTCTTGATCAAAATTGCTGTAATCTAGATAATACTTAATAGGGTTGTGTTTCTTAACTGGTACATTTGTAACACAGACAACTGGGAGGTGATCAGAGACATCCACCAGTACAATCCCAGAGACAATTTTGGATTTACTGTTGGTATAGATATGATTAATTAATGTAGCTGAATGATAGGTCAGACGTGTTAGTTTAGTAATAATTGGTAATAAATTATTGGAATATAGCATGTCAAGGTAAGCCTCTGTAGGTGGATGAATATCACATTTAAAAAAGTCTATATTCATATCACCAAGGATATACAATTGGCACTTGTTTGGGTTAAATAGCTTCATTGTTTCGTCAAGTTTCCCATTAAATTCATCAATATTCGCATCTGGATGTTTGTAGATACAGCCAACCAGGATGGGTTTTTGGTTTTTGGGAGTAGCTATTTCAACCCAAACAGATTCCACAAGAGGCATATCCAAAGTTATATCTGACCTAGGAAATGATGTTAAAGCTTTACTGACATAAAGAGCAACCCCTCCCGCTGGGGTGGGAGAATCAGCTTGGTAGATGCTATAGTTAATCAACTCAGTATTCAAAGTGGTATTTGCATTTAGCCTCGTTTCAGAAACTCCTAATACATCAGGCTGTTCACTTAAAGAATACAGCATATCTTCAAGCAAGCCAATATTTTTTGTCAGGCTTCTAATGTTACAATGAAGAAATGAGAAGGATTTTGCTCCTGATTTATCTAGAACCTTATTCAAACTAGAAATATCATAGCAATCAGATTGGGGGTTAATTAATATATGAACAGGGTCAGCATCATCAAATTTATCAGGGTTGGGTAGCAAATTATATAAATCTAAATCTTTTAAATTATCTATCTGCAAGTGACAGGATCCATCTAGAATATGAAATTCTCTGTCATCCAGGTCATGAAAAGGTAAAGCTTGCAAGCTATTTTGGGGACGATTGAGGTTGAACATGTATGTGTCTGTAGGTTAGATATTATAGGGCACATAAGTGTCTACGACTGGAGTCGATTCGCCTACGTCTTATATGTCAATACGCCTACTATTCATATGTTGAAGCTTTAAATCTTAATTGTTAAAAGTCCTTGTTCCTTGTATTATTCCTTCCATTCTATCCTCGATATCTAGAAAAACCACGCGCTAAAACATCTAAGTTCGAATGTTTTTAGAAACTTTATTATGGCGGAACACGGTCGTCTACGAATAGAATGTGTGAAAGATATTTTGCTTCAAATGATTTACGAAACGTGTGATTGTAAAACTGAGCATTAAGATGTGTATTAAAATGAAATTAACCACCGTTTACGGTCTTTGTGTAGCCTTGTAAAGCGCGAGCAGCGCACTAAAGAAACCACTGTTTATGGTCTTTGTGTAGACTTGTGAGGCGCGAGCGGCGCTTAAGCTAAAGAACGTTAGACTTTTCATAAACATATACGAAATTAGCTTCAGCTTCACTTGACAGTCGGTTCAATTTCTACGTCGATTTTGCGACTTGTTGAATCTTTTGACTCTATAAACTAGTTTATGTATATAATGTGTCCGGGTATTCTGAAGTTGCTCCGTTTGCGTAGAGTACTTTCATCTAACTTAGCAAGATGACAAATAATAAATAAAGTTAAAGCGTTCTTTGTGTAGACTTGTGACTTGAGCGGCGCTCATACTAACGGAGGAGGGAGTTTTCATTAGCATACATAGTACTTACCACAAAATTAGCTTGTTCACACTACACAGCTTGATTTAACTTTTTATTTCGATGTTGCGGCTTGTTGAATCGGTAATCATAGTCATATACTTGGGACTGAGCAAGATAAATAAACGTGCGTTCTCACGTTTGGACTTGGTTAAAATAACAGGGGTGATGAAAGGTCCATTAAAATTTTTAACCGCTCGTAAAATTTTACCTTTGCTCGATTTGCTCGCAAAATTTAAACGAGTGCTCGCTTGCTCGTGCTCCCAAAATGTTTGTAGTTGCTGGCTGTTATAATATTGTAATTTTTACGCCCTGTGTTGAATTTCATTTGCACGTGCTGCTAGAGTCATTATATATTCAGTTTCGTTTGTACCTTCGGGGGCACTTAATAGAGATTAAAATGTCTGTTCAGTAACCGCTTGAACGTGTGGCTCGCTGTGTTATCACATGGTGGCAGCGGTGGCCGCTTCTGCTTCCTTTTTTTTTGTTTCGTTTTTTTTTTGAACCGTCTACGTTATACAGCATGCCCGGTGGTGATACCTCCAATGGACAGTCTGGTGCGGTAGCGCCGCCATCGTCGACTTTTCATCAGATTACTCCGCCGAAGTACCTTGACTTGAAACATAGTGGAGAAATTGCCGAAAACTGGAAGCTTTGGAAGGAGAAATATAACAATTATTTTGTCATTTCTCGTTTGGATCGGGAAACCCCGGAGTTTCAGTTGGCGATGTTCAAACATACGATCGGAGATGATGCGTTGAAAGTCATCAATACATTCAACTACGCAGAGTGGGAGAACTCGAGTGATTGGCGCATTGTAATGGCAAAAATGGAGAAGCATTGCATCGGCGAAGTCAACGAAATTTGCGAACGATACTGTTTTAATATGAGAGACAAGCTTCCAATGGAGTCGGTTGATAGTTTTGTTGCCGAGTTGAGGAATCTGGCCAAAACATGTAATTTTTGCGATTGTTTGCGGGATAGTTTAATCCGTGATCGTATTGTGCTCGTTTTTAGCTCATGGATGACGTAGTCATGCCATGGGCTTTTGGAGGCACTCGAATGGCACTCGATCACTCACTCATTCACTCGACTCTTATTAATTTATTCATTAAAGTCAGATTAAAAATTTTGCTTTTACCTCCCTTACTTAGTATCACTTTCGTTCTAAGTGCCTTTTACGCATATGTTTGGCATATTCTAGAGGGTACTGGTAAGGTGTACATTTTTTCCCGACACATCATAGAGTAGCCAGCCTATCCGAAGATGGGTTTTGTATGAATTGAAAAATTCAAAAGAACACTGACAATATCATCGGCATGAAATGGACTTGGAGTTGTTAAAAGGACGTTGAAATAAGTGAGCGTGGATCATTGTTGTATATTTGGACGAACTGTGCACGTTTACTTTATCAGGTTGATGGAGACGATACGATCGACAGGAGTGTGAAAGAGCTATCGCAGCCTGACTGTGATGATGGGATTTCGCTCAGCGAAAAGCGAATAATAAGCCCTAGCTGCCGAAAAACGGTCCTCGAATTGTTAAAGCGACGTTGAGGAGTATCTATTGTGGTTTATTACTATCTGGACAATTTTGCTTGAATTCTGTAAAAAGGTGATCTTTGCCCAGTAGGCTGTTTGTCGGTGATTCCATTTATCAGTGCCATTAATGTAATTTCTACCGGGAAATGCTGCGCTGGAATAAACAAGTTTCTAGAATACTCAAGTACAGAAGGGCAATCGGATACTTCGACTGCGTTAAATTACTTAGCTAGGTCAGAGCACGTACAGCCTCGAGCTCAGTCCGTTTATTAAAACAATTTTTAGCTAGTGTTTGGCAAAAGCGCGTTCTAAAGCAGTTTAATGTAGCCATAAACGCCTGTATTCTGTATTTAATAGCTCGTAGTACATATACTAACATACTTGGTTGCGGGACGTCAAAATGATGTACAAATGTGTTAACAACTTAGTGCCAGCATATATTACCTGTAAAATAGGGAAGCGATCCAATGCGCACGCTTACAATCTCCGCAACAGTGAAGATCTAAACCTGCCAGGATGCCGGACAGCGGCTGCCCAGAGTGGCTTCTTTTATAGCGCAGCAAAAGCGTGGAATAGTCTCAGTAACAACACTAGGACTGCCCGATCATTCAGCCCCTTTTATAAAGCATGCAAAGGTAGAATTGATGAAGAAATAGGATGCCGGTATACATACCATAGTATATTATTACAATGTTAGTTATTATTAGAAGTAGTAATTTTAAGTTGTTATTTATATATCAAGAACATGTATATCATTAGTCTTAGCTGTATTATATATACATATTGTAAATTAATTCTGAAAAGCCCCTCGGGGAGAATTAATAAAAAAGTATTGTATTGTATTGTCTACTCTTTGCGAACAGCATATGGAAACATTTATTTAAAAGCACTTATAGGAAACCCTCGAGGTCCATTTTAAAATAACCGTTTAAAACCACGATTTGAATAAAACTCGGCCTTATGTAAAACTTAGCTATTTTACAAGAAAGTGCACTATCGTTCGGAAAGTGTTTGGCAGTCACATGAGAAAGCAAATTATTTTACGACTAAAAAGCGTTAAATTAATAAGTTTAAAGTGATCTTTGCGTTAAACAGAAATGCTAAGCTTTAATAAGTTTGTAGAATATTCAGGTGAACATGCAATCGGATACTTCGACTGTGTCGGGTTTGAATTCCTAAGGTCAGAACACGTACAGCTTCGGGCAAGGAAGGGACTCCCTAGTCCTTGCTGGAAAGCGTGAGTGCTACAGAGATGCCAAAAAGTTACCGAAGAAACGCTGACGAAATGCTTAACACTAAATGCCTAAAGCAGATGCAAAAACCAAATGCTAAATACTGTATGCCAAAAAAAAAAAAACCTGCTAAAAATCAAATGGTAAAGGAATGTAGACATGATTTATCGAGTATATCAACACACAGAAAGTCATGAAAGATATAAAAAAAACGAAGGAGAAAAGTGAATCTGTTACAGTGCCCAAGCAGTTTAAAACACCTGAATCTCAAAAAGGAATGTTTTTTCTACACTAATTCAATTCATCCATGAGCTAGCTCCTAGGAGCCTTTGATTAATTCCAAGCACAATAGAAACACAAAGACACGCAAAGATACACTCAAACAGGCACCTCCAGGTACACGCGTGGAAACATTCGACCAGCCGCCCAATCCGTTGTCTTCGCTGCCGGACGCACCAAAGTCGCCCAATCCTTTACAGGCACCGAGAAGGTCCACGCGCGTCCGTCAGCCGCCCAAGCGTCTACAGGACTATGTGCTTACTTAGGCCTAAGAACTCTTTTCAAAGAACTGAATTTCATTAATATGTGCTTAGTCGTTTGTTTTGGTTTCACGTGTTTTTTTTTTTCCGTTAAGCTGTTTTCTTATTTCTCTATAAACGGAAGGGTGTTATAATATTGTAATTTTCACGCCCAGTGTTGAATTTCATTTGCACTGCTAGACTCATTATATATTCAGTTTCGTTTGTACTTTCGGGGGCACTTGATAGAGATTAAAATGTCTGTTCAGTAACCGCTTGAACGTGTGGCTCGCTGTGTTATCACACTGGCAACCTCGCTTTCTTGTCAGTATTGCTCGAAATTGTGTAAATCCTTCGTTGGGTTAAAGTAAATGTAATTCTGTATGGTGCTTGATTCCTATAAATATGGCGATCAAGTTCAGTGGAAATGCACGCGACAAATGACAACGATGAATAATAAATCAGCTAAACTAGCTATATATGGTTATTTATGTTTGTTATATACGGTTGCATTGTTTATGCAAAATAATGACACTACAGCTGCCCCCGCTCTATAAATTGCCGGTCAATAGCATTCTTGCTCGTTGTGTAGCTCTTTGAAATATACCGATTCATAAGGAAGATTTTCACTCATATTCCATACAATAGGTGAGATAAATATAGGAAACGCAAGGTTCCATGCACAGTTTCAGGTCCATTTACACATGTTTGATCAAAACATTCTCAGTTCCGAGAATAGTTTATTCTAAACCAGAAGAAAAGATTCAATTAGCAGTTGAATTTTTCGCTATTTCTCTTTCACTTTTTACATTCAGTTCATTTTATTTGCCGGAAAGGAAGTCTTAGGAATTAAAAGGACGTCTGATCAATTCACACTCGCGCATTCTAGTCTCATTTTAACTGACGTTATACGGAAGGACAACTGTGAGCAGGGAATAAGTCAGCACAGAATTTGATTGTCGGCGAATTTCTGTAATCGTCCATCGTTCTGCTAGTGAGAAGCTAGCCGTTGTTCACTCGTCTTGCTTGTTTGGGGCTGAGTCTTATTCCGGTCAAAGAGAGAGAAAGATTGTCTGGCAAGGTTTCCAATGAAAGATTTGTGAACTCGTGTCTGGCAAACTCTCCAAGTGTTTATATATACACAGTTATACGCACCTTATAACTTCTTCTGCGCTTAACAAGTGTCGTTAAAATTTTGGGCCATAACTTTCACTGAAACAACTGCTCCACAGAATGTCACTGATCACACGTAACGCAAAAGAGTGTCGAAGTATGACTGCACAATAAATGTCACAAAATCTACCTAAGAGGTCCCTTGGGGATGTTCTGTCTTTATGTCATCCTAACCATTTCGTGCTTGCGGGCGCAAACAAAAGAAACGTCATCATTACCTACCGATTCCTGATCATTCCTCGCGGCCCCTGTTCAAGCAAATCGAGATTTTTTCTATATTGACTGTATGACTGTATATTTCAACTGTAAGTACTTTCCTAAATATACGCGCGAGTTACTAGAGTGCCTCCTCGAGATTTCGCCTTCTGGGGCGAAATCCCTGCGGGGGCAATGAGCACAAACATGCTTGGTATGTTTTTTGTTTTACAACAAGAGGAGTCATTTGCGATATTTGCGTCTAGCAGTCGCATTTGGCCGATACGCATATGCTGCAAATAAATTCACCCTCGGTGCAATCGGTTTTTAAAAGTCGTTTAGAAAAAGATAAGGCGTATTTGCTAACAAGGAAAAAAGTAAAAATTCTACTTTTGTGTACTGAATGATATCCTGGGCAGGGAGGGACTCTCTCACGATACCTGATTTTTCTTCATTAACCTGCGATCAGGCGGTCCTTAGATTTTCCCATTTTCTTTGGGAGGCCTGATCGCGGGTTATTTCTATATTTGCTACGTCAAACGTAAATAAGAATCGTTTTCATTGTCTCATCGAGTGCCATATAAATACGATAATTTATAAACAGAAAAGGAACAACATTGTATATCTCTTCTCCTACAAATTAGGAAAGACGGCCGGAAGTCTCCACGCATCATATCTCGCAATTTCGTCTACTAACGCCTTGTGGGCTTACCGGACGTTTCGTACCCAGGCGATTCGTACCCAAAGTTGAGATGATTCGTACCCATCGCTAAGATGATTCGTACCTAAAGCTTAGATGATTCGTACCCATGCAATAACAAAGTCTTTATGTTGTAAACAGTGTGTTTTCATAGTTTAAGTTAAGGCTTTCACTAAACCGGACGTTTAGGCGATTCGTACCCAAAGTTGAGATGATTCGTATCCATCGCTAAGATGATTCGTACCCATGCAATAACAAAGTCTTTATGTTGTAAAAAGTGTGTTTTCATAGTTTAAGTTAAGGCTTTCACTAAAACAAAGGATCGAAACCGCAGAACTAACCACAAGACAGGACGTCCTGTGGAGATAGTGGGACGAGACAAATATCTTTGTTTACGTCCGAATTTGCTACATGTCTGAACGTAGACTAATCGAAGACTATTTGAAGAGCGATAGCATAAGAAGAATACCACAAGGCTAGTGACACAAGCCCCGCCGAACCCAAAATAAAAAAAAAGTGACTTGAAAGAGTGACTTACAGAATTCGCATGTTTGTGAAAAGAGCAGTCATATATTTTGAAGGAAATCCTAACTGATACTTATTACAAGAGGGGACATGTGAGTTGTCCGAGTGACACCCGCCCCTTGATTAAACACAATCGAGGAATAATATATAATATATATAATATACTATATACTGATTATTTCTTTAAGTTTTAAACTAGTCAATTTTGCTTAACCTACTTACTGGATTTGCAATTTCTAATGTACTGTATGTTTGAGATCGATATACTGATTATTAATGTCACTATTCCGCTTGTAAGATACGCATGCAAACGTCACGCAAGTAAATAACGCACGCAGGCTAAGTAAACAACAACTCCATGATGGCGTAATAAGGGGGGGACACAGCCCTGTGGCAGGTTATAGCGACTTCGGGTTTTGCGCACAAAATAACACAAGCCTTACTTGTCGCCCCACTACCGTGGGGTAGGACAAGAGTCTTGGCAGAGCCTTTCTTATCTCCCCAGCGCCGCACGGGCTGGATCGGACAAGATTAAGGCAAAGGAATAGCTAAAAAGATGGCAAGACACAAGCAATGCCAAAAGCTTGGGGGAAGTCGCAACGCAGACTTAACCGCACCACAAGGAGTGACCCCCCAAAATTTATTGAGACAAAACATAACAACTACTCCTCCAAAGGGAGGGAGGGTGGGTAACAAAACTACTTTAAATGATTGCTTTCGTGCAAGCTAACCAAATAATGACTAGAAGTGGCATTTGCAAAGCTTTATAGTCAGACAGTGTCTCAAAATACGGCCAATAGGCACAGTGGTACTATTAACTATCTCAACTCATCATGACTAAGGTCTGGCCGTGAATAGAACTGAATAGGGCTTTGAATACAGGGACCAATCTTGCGAAGGTAAGAAAATATACGATGACAAACATGCGACAACTCAGTGAGGTTCTAGCCATGAAAAGCTTTTGTTTTCTGCTTAAAGAATAGAGTGCTTTCATTTAATGAATCGAGCTTTCAAGACATCACCGAGCCTAAGACGAGGCAGGCTTTCTCTGCCTACCCCCCTGGGGCTTCATGCTCCATTAACTGCATTTACCCGCTGGTAAATGTCTCATTAAAAATACCTTAACATTATCTACAATACAACTGTAGCTAATGATGAAATAAATCAAGTTACGTATTCCTTCAATAGCCTGCGAAAACATCTGTTTCTCCTCGCTAGGAGAAACGGATGTTTTCGCAGGCTAGTCCTTCAAGTACTTTAGACGATCACTGGTCTATTGATGTTTGCGCAGCCTTTCAGTAATTGCTTAAGGGATTTCTCTCTCTTGTTAAATGCCTCCCACAGCTCAAAGAGCCGCCTTTGTAACTGGCGGTAGGCGGCTCTCTGGATCCGCTTCAGCTTGCGCTCAGACACAAGCCGAATCTGCAGTGACACCAGGCGGGCCTCGTTGTGTAGCAGGGACACAAGCAAGTAGAAGGGAAGTCCACAGCGGCCAGCAGCTCTTCGGTTCAGGGCGTGATGCCAGCCTTCTATGTCATTATTTGTTCTTGCTGACAGCATAAACACGCTCCAGCACTTAGGGGGCCATATTCTGCTGTTTATCCAGGTCTCTCCGATGAGGTGCAGAGATTTCAAAGACTTGAATATATTACTTTATTTAATGGTGTTATTTACTTTATTGAATAATTGTCTCTTAAACTGATTTACCTTAAGTAACTTATCGGTTACAAAACATTCAATTCATCTCTATTTCATTTCTGTAAGGCTGTTTAAGTAAACGACAGTTAACTAAAACTTTTAATCCTTTCCGATACCTTTCATTTAATATTATATAAACCCACGGGTTTAAAGAAGCATTCAAATAAAGCAAGAATTTCATGGCTGTAAATAGTTTTCTCGTTGCACATGTATCTCGCCCATCCATCAAAAAATAATGAACAAGTGCTAAAATAGTTATTGGAAAAATGCACAAGATGAACAGAAAGACAATGATCAATATCTTGTTGACAATGGCTCTGTTTTCTTTCTGCCTCTGTCGCCTTATTCTTGATGTCCCATTTTCGGTAGGATCTTTTTTCTTTAGTTCTATAACTATCAGTGCATATAAAGTTAGAATCACAATTAGGGGAAAGAAAATTAAAAAGATGAAAACGAAAAGAAAGTATCGTTCTTGTGTATGCTCTTCAAACTTCGGTGCCCAGCAAAAAGTACAGGACCACTTTTGGCCTGTCTTTACCAGCCGCGCGGTATAGAAATAAGTTCCGTGTAGACCCATCGCCACCATCCAAATAACCACAATTATTACCTTACAGACCTTGGATGTAATAACTGGAGGACGGAATGGAAAGACGACTCCCTGATATCTGTCAACTGCTATGGCTACCAGGCTTTGTATAGATACTGCCGTTGAAATGTCTTGGAGAAAGTAGACCAGCTTACAAGATATTGAGCCTGCTAAGCCATCGAGAAGCCATATCTTTGAACCAGCAAAAATTTCCGCGAGTTCTCGTGGTACTGCGAAGGCAGAGATTAATAGATCAGAAGCGGCCATGTTAGCGATCAGGTAATTCGTTGTCGTCCGCATCCTTTTGTTTTTTGACACGATTGCAATTACAGCTAAGTTTCCAAGCAGCGAAGTTAACATGATGGACGAGTAAGCGACTGTTTTGATGCATTTCACCAAAGTCGAGGCCTGCGGGCAGATTCTCTCCGACGTCGCGTTGGTGTAATTTTGGTATTCCATGACTGGTCGACAGACAAATAATCTCCCCCAAAGATGTTCCAAAAGTGGCAAAAAGCGAAAACCAACCGTCGCACATATATTGTTGTACAAAGACACCTGACACATGCAAATTTAGATCAGATTAGCTTAACACAGTAAACCATTTCGCACTTAGAGAGATTTTGCCCGTTAATGTTTTTTCTTATCACCCCTACTAACAAATTAAGTCTGTGATCAAAGAAAAAATGATGGTATTCTATATTATAACATTAGCACATTAACAAATGTCAGTCGTTAAATTGTGAGGGAAAAAAGGTCGCTAGTGAGTTTTTTGCCAGTGGATTTAATCGTCAACGTACGTAATATCTTTTTGTTCAATATCATGATGGCTGAACTTTGTTTCTGTCAAGTTGTATGTTACACTTCAGAAGATACTTCAATCTCTTTTTATCAGGGTGGAATTGTTATGGTATCAGTATAAAGATAACCAGTGGAATGGTTTCAGGATAAGTATGTAGGCAGGCCCTCGCTGATCTCATATTGCTTGCAGTTAAACTTTCCATAACAAGACGAAAAAGATAATCTCTCCTAAGTGGTGTTGCCAGAAAAATGGGATAAAGTGGAAACCTTTAACCGCTCATCTATTTGTAGCTAAAACACACATTCTATGTACCGATAAAGCTATTGTATGGATAGGATTAAACATTTTCGCACTAACCGGGAAATTTTTCTCCATCGATCTTGTTCTTTTCACAGCCATTAATGATTTTGTTATGTAATAGAAAGCGAGTAAGAGATTATAAAAGTCCAGTGGACCCATTATTCTCTTTGGATACGAATATTTTTGCTATATTTCTATATATTTTGTAGCGAAGGTGAATTTCAGAATTTGAAGTGTGAAGCGAAAAGGATGGGAGCGACATTTTTACCAGTAATATCGCATATTATCGTGGTACTTACAGTTTTGAATTATTTCTGCTATCGGTTATTATTCACAAGATATACTTCAATTGTGTTCACCAAGGCTGTATAAGGAATGTCACTTAATTAACAGCATTATAAAGACAACCAATGAAATAATTCCATGATAAATCGAGGCCACATATGGAAACCTAACTGGAGCAGCTGACTAAATAGATATTCAAAAGTAGAGTGAAAAATAGAACCTTTTCCGAAGCAATACAATTTACTTATTTAAAACTACACTTTTGCTGCTATCGCCTTCAATTCCTGCGAATGTGTTAATGATAAACGAGCTCAGTTGCTTGTAGTACCACAAGAAAGATGGTTATTCCAACACTGATAGTTAAAATTCAAGTTTTAAATAAGAACTAATCTGTTAAGTGCTTCCAAACTTGACAGTTTAATTGTAAAATAAGGATAATAAGGCCCCGCGTCCGCACGTATCCGAATATTTTTGAAAAGGAGGAATTTTTTTCCCCCGTTTTAGCCTTCTGTCCACACTTTAAAGGCACTTTTGGGCAGCAAAAACGAAGGTTTTTGAGAACTGTTCTTACAGAGGGTTTTTTTTTCTTTTAACGCGTTCCTGACGCCGCCGGATTGTCGTTTTCGTGTGGACGGACAAAAACGCGGCTTCTGAACACGATGATGTCATACATCGTACACAGCACGCTCTATAGGGGAGGTTATAAGCTATATATAAGTCGCTACGTCACGTTGCCATGGTAGCAAAATTATTCAGTTTCAATTAATTTGTCGAGTGGATGCCTACTTTTCTTGAAAACAGACAAGAAAAATTAAAATTTCCCTGGTTCAAAAATAACAGGATACAGTACGTGTGGATGAGGTCTTAGTAGAAAACGCAAAACTGAACGGAAACCGGGGCACGAATTAGTTTTTTTTAAAAAAGTATATATTGATGCTCCTGATTGATGAAACGCCAAATCCCCTTACAAAGCATTTACTAAAACTTCAAGAAAAAGACACTAACAGGTCAAGCATTTTAAGCGGACTAGTAGAAATGTCAAGCAAGTTGATATTTCAGCCGACACAACTAGTCAGACTGGGTGATCAAAGCTTCTTTGTTTACACGAATCATGAAAGATTTTAATGACTTAACACTAATATACTCAAACTGAAAATTAACAATCACTGTCTGCTAATTAATAGTTCGGTAGAGAGCCATGCCTAAAAGATGAGATAACTTTAAAAAAAAAATTAAAAAAAACACCGAGTTGAAATTTCAATACCAGAAATACTTTTCAAGATGTTCAACAACATGTAAAACGTAAGGAGCCTATTACCCTGAAAACATTTTTATATACATTTCATTCATCATTCATGTCAGTTCGTTGCGAGTTCACAGTTTTTTTCTTTTTATTAGTATAATTATTACTTTACTTCTTGTTTGGGGAGATCACGATTTCACTCCGCGCTACAGCAGTCCATATTTGATTTCCAATTTTTTATTATTGACGAACTGTAAGGCTTTAATGGATTTACGAGATAGAAGAATATGGCTTATCTGAATACATTTTTCAACATTTCTATTTCGCAGACAATTCTGCTGAGAAAGGACAGTTCCGTGCATCTTTCTTGCAAAGATTGTCTGCTTCTTCCATATGCAAAACATTTATTTTTCTTACTATATTTACATTTCTTACTTTTAGTAATAAGTAATTATCTATATTTCTCACAAAAAATGAAATTGCTGTTTGTTTGATAGCCCAGTAGTAAAGAAAAGCTTAGTAGAAAACACATTTGAAACTATCTGCAGATGCCCTAGGGAGAACTAAAGGCGACTATTAAATTTGAGGGAAATTAGGGTAGAAGTATATTTTTGGAGTAGATATGCCAAAAGAAGCCAGGATATTGAAAGTTAAACTTCAAATGACAATTGTAGGGATGGAGTGATGATTTATAATCCTAATTCTGAATACGTTTAGTAAGTAAGTGAAGATAATACTAGCAAGTAAATAAATTAAAAGCAAATTTTATAGAAATATATCTCAAGCTGATTCTTAATACGGGCATGCATCGAAGAAGGTTATTCATAAAAAAAAGGCCTTTTGAAAAAGTTGGACTTGTGATCAACTGTCTGTAAACACAAAAACAATTCTTTTTTAAAAAAAATATCTCAAAAGTAGCAAATGTAATGGTTGCCGTAAATGAGAGGGATTTGTATTGGCTTGCGTAGGAAGGGTTTCCGCGCAGGTTCGTTGGAAACGCTGTAATGCGCAAGGGAAAGATTCAAAGACAGTTTGAAAATGTCAAAATCAAGATTTGAATGGGAAGCCCCTGAACCGCGACTGGGGTGGCAAGAGTTGCTTTTCACTACATATCGAATACCGCAGAAATTCCGAAAATAAGCCCCTCCATGTATAAGCCCCTCCAAATATAAGCCCCCCAAACCGGTAACGTAAAAAACCTCCGTTAAATCGCCCCTCCAAATATAAGCCCCCTGGGGGCTTGAAATTGGAAAATTGCCCTCAAATACAAAGTAAAACAAAGCAAAAATGGTAAATTTACATACAACTATGAGGGTAGCCCAATCGATTTTGAGACGCAAATTTCCCTCCATAGATAAGCCCCTCCAAAAATAAGCCCCTCAAAAAGGGCCTTTGAGAAATATAAGCCCCGGGGCTTACTAGTTCGGAATTTTACGGTACCTTCAATTTGGCGGCCGTTGCAATCGCTACTTTTTAGATATATACCGCTGAAAATTTACGGGTTACCTAATTTTTATATGGTCTTTTAGTTCCTGCTTAAATCATTTTGTTCCAAAAGTATTGTTTTCGTGTTAACAGAAAGTTGATTACATGCCCAACTATTTAAAAAAGGTCTATTGACTAGTTTGATTGACAACAGAAATAATAGTCCATTTGAAAGCAAAGCCAGGGGTTTTATGACTACCTGCAAATCTTACAAAGTCAAAAGCATAAAAGGATTTATTGCTTGTTAATTATTAAAATTGAAAGAAACATACTGCAGAATAACGTTCGAAATGGTCTACGTTACAGACAGACGCACTAAGATGAATTTAGACAAAAACCCAAGTTAGGAAGAGGAGAAGGGGAAAGCAAGGCAAAAGGAAAATTAAATAATTTATTTTAATACCTAGAAACAAAACCAAATGATTCACTCCTTTGAATAGAGGGTGGCTTTAGTTTAACATAAGTCTCAGAGATTCACGCGCATGGATAATTTGATTCGGACGAGAGGAGTGACCATTCGTTATTCCCGTCGTGGTCAACTGTAATTACAAAATAAGGTGACTATGATTTTCATCATTCTAAGTTGAAGAAAAAAACGATTAGAAACTTACCACTTGTGTTCCTTAAAACTGCTTCTATACTATGATTGCTATTTTCGCTAGCAGTTTGATTTTTCTGATTTCAAAAAGGTGTTAAATAATTTATAAATATTAAAACAGCGTTATATGACATCTGTTTTGTCGCTACACTTTATCGAGGCAAGCTAATAGCCTGCGAACCCAGCGGCGGAGTTATACGTATGGGTTTGCAGGTTCCCGAGTTAATGATATTCACATAAAAATGGACTGAAAACGTAAAATGAAAATTGTAAGAGGAGATCTTTTTTGCCTTTCAATTTATATCCAGCCAGTGCTTTCAAATCTTCGCTTTGAACACTGTCATTGACTTCACACTAGAGCTTGTAAGTATAATCTAAGGGCACTTGAAATCTACTTTGAGGGTCACTTTAACTTTACTTAGTGACCATGGAAACATTATTTTGTCTGTTTTGTAGCTCAAAGAAGCTGAAGTTCGCGGCCAAGTATGATCTACACCACACTTGGCCAATTGACACCTAGGATATGAAAGCCAACTAAAGATGTGCAGCGGTTCCAAGGTTCTGAAGAAAGCATAGATGAACATTTTCTAAATTACCTCTCTAAATTACGGGCTGGAGAAACTACGCATCGGAGTTTGAGGACTCCATAGGGCGATTTCTTTGAAGACTTCAAAAAGCTATTTTCCGTTGCAAACGCTTCATGATTTTTAAGGGTAGCAATCGTATTTGTGACATGTGTGACTGACAGCTTGTGCTTAGAAGTGCTAATCAAAATACTATTTGGGTTATGGGTTTCTGTTTAACTTAACTCGCTTCTTTAAGCCTCAAAGCCCCTTCTAAAAAATCGTATTCATTTCAATACAAGCTAGACAAGATGCAGGGGCTTATATCCGGGGAGACTTGCTATCGAAAGTGTCTTTTGGTGTTTTTCAGGTACAAGGGGGCGCATATAAGCGGACATTTTATAAGGGAGTAAAAGCTTAGCTTTATAACCCCTTACGCACTAGCTTTTCTTTGTCTCTCTCTTTTTTTGGCTATAATTTTTTTTGGTCATTTTTTTCAGCTTATTTCTTTTTTATCCAGAGTCCAGACTCCAGAGTCCACGGTCCACTCCAGATTTTAGACTATGCCGGTGCAGTAAATTACAGGAAACATGTCCAATTCAGATCTCGGGTACAACTAAACTGCTTAATTAAAGTTGAGGTTTATCTACTATTTGAGTTTTCTGTTGGGCGTGTACGAGGCAAAAACTACGTTTGCACACTAGAATTAAGTGATTATTTAAGCTTCAAGTGGTGGTTTTGAGGCCAACACCTGTTTTAGGGTAAAACACTGGAATAATTTACACTGAACTTGCATTGCCTATGAAAAAAATTCTTTATATAGTCGAAGAAAAAACTAAGGTAAAACACTGGAATCAAGTGATTCAAATTGAAACTACCTTTAAAAGCGTTTTCAAGCTGCTTGCTTTGGGTGAAGCCAACTCAAGTTTTAGTGAATTTACACTGAACTTGCAGTTTGAGATCGAAAATTGGTTGATTAGCCTGAGCCAGCGTATCAGGCGCCTGGAATTTTGGTTAGTGGGCGAAAAAGTTAGAACGACTGGGCGCGCGTGTCCCTTCTCGCGCGCCCATTTTTCTTGTGTCCACTACTTCCATGCCCGCTTGTGTACGCAGGCTATGATTAGCCCCACAAAGGGCACATGCCATGATTGTCCTCTGATTTAGCTGCTCTTTGTTCGCTTAGTAATATTCGTAGAAAAGTCGAGTTTTTTCAACAAATAAAAACTACCTTTTTCCTTTTCACATGTACACGTTTTACATCAAAGTCGACTTTAAAAAGAATTAGTAGTTTTCTGAAAAATGCCCGATTGCGATGAAATTATTGCAAATTGCGACAACAGTAGCTGATTCAGGCAAAGCGCGATGGACAGTTATTACAAAATGCGACAGTTTTTTTTTTTTTCAAGTGCGATGCACTTATGAATTGTGACAGTACCTTAGGAGTAGAATAAAGTAGGATAAAATCCCTGGAATACTGAAGGTTCTGCGTATTCCATTTTCAAAATTTAGTTACCAACAGGAGGAGACGAAACCCTTTTTCACGTAATTCTTCATTTTAAAACTTTTAACACATAGTAAGTCTGACATCACCTTTTACTTCCGCCTTACTATGTTGATTTGGTTTTAAATAGTCTAAAGGGCTAGCCGTCTCCTCACCCCACCCCCTCCCCTAAGAGGCGGCCGGGCAGCCCTGTTGAAGGGGTTAGGACGAGGAGACGGCTGCGATGGCACTTCCTGACGTCTTGAAAAACGACTACTTCAGACCAAAGTAACCGACATTATTTATAGTATATGACTTGACCTCGTATAAAATATGTAGAATATGTCCTCCTCTGTAGACGATCCCTTTCTTAAAACAGCTGTCAGCCGAATTCAATTTTTATTGCGAGGCTTTTCAATCTGAGTCCAAGAATCGATCGATAGCTCTGCATGTCGGTTTACTGCTTTGCGAAAGAGATGACACAAGAAAGAATATAAACTGTTTTTTAATTGGGGTTAATGGCCACAAGCGTCACGTTTTGAATCCAGTTATAAAAATCACTCATTAACATCTCTTCAGGAAAAGTTGGGGCCAAAGCTATTCGTTACACGTCCAAAAAAATATGGTAATCGTTTGTTAAACAAAAGGGTCCTACCGGAATCTAGAAATCACTGTGTACAGTCAATGTCGTGCGCAAATGAATACGCAGTGACTACTATAGAAAGCATAAATGAAGACCGACACCATTGATTCTTGAAGCTAATGAGTTCGCAATCTTATAATATTCAGTCACGGTCATGTCGTCACTAAAAGTAAAGGGACATAAACTAAGCAAATAAACCAACGCAAATGCAATCAAGGCTTAGCAAACCTAATATAGCAAAGGAACTGATGGCCAGAGATGCAAACATACGTGTAGAACAACATAGAAACGCTACTGAGTGTCACCACTAACAAAAGGTAGCATAGTCTTAAGTTCTCCTTCTCTGAGACTACGATAGAGCTTATATTGCCCCCTTCTGATAGACCTTTCCACTGTTTTTTGTCAACTTTTGACATAGACAAGTTCGGCAAAATCCGTTGATACCACTGGAAAGAGCGCCCTAAAATTAGTAAAATTGCCAAATTTGATAGTGATTCGTCTTAAGCGAGCGAAGATACAGCGGCCTCAAATTCACGAAATATTACAGACGTTTGTATGGTGGCCTGCGTGGCAGGCGTTTGAAAGGGAAGGGGTAGGGAATTAGGACGCGAGACCACGCGCGCCCAAATTCCCCCTTCCCCTTTTAACGCCTGCCACACAGGCTATTTTTATGGTGGCAGGCCTGGTATGGTGGGGGGCAAACACTTGCCCCCCAACAAACAAACGTCTGTAAATTTTCGTAACTTTGCGGAGCTCTATCTTCGCTCGCTTAAGACGTATAATCACTTTCAATTTTGGCAGTTTTACTGATTTTAGGGCACTTTTTCCAGTGGTGTCGACGGATTTACCCTAACTTTTCTATGTCAAAAGTTGAAAAAAACCGTGGAAAGGTCTGTTCAGGTGAACGTCATCAGAAGCAATAGATTTCGTTAGACTGTTCAAAGTCCCCTATTTTTTCGTGAGATCGTCGAGATAAAGAGAGCCCCTTTATCCTCTCTTGTCGAGATATAGCGCGTCTGGGATTATAGCTCCAGGGGGAGGGGGGGCCAGAAAAATAGAGGGACTGTAATAACATCACTGCAGCTCGCGTCTACGGAGCGCGTTGTACCAGCAACGCAGGCGACAATAGATGTTAATTTGCGTTGACCAGTCCGGGCCACAACCAGAACTGGATATATGATGACGTCACCCAAATTTTCAACATGGCGCCCAAACCAAGGGACACGAATCAGGGTCGCTTTTCAGCTCTTTGCTACGCCTAGAAATGACCTTGTCTCACAGTACCTTAGGAGCTGCGCCTTTGAATGATGAGGAAGCACATGAGTGTGAAAAAAATGGCAACTCGTGAAGTTTGCGTGTTCTCTAGGGGTAAAACGGCTGAAAACGGGAGTGTTTCAGCTCAAAGATCTACCTGACAAGGCGCAAAACATTTGAAGATAGAAAGGTGTGTGTCATTTTTTTGATGTTTGAAAAAAAAATTTTTTGAAATCTTCATAAAATTTGCTTGTTGATGGTGGTTTTGTTGTCGTAGTACAAAGCATTTTTACATAGTGCTGTGTGTTTGAATTTGCGGTATCCGGTCGTTTCGCCTACGGTCAGTTCAATTCAATTCAATTCTTTATTCACACCACGTAAGATATTTACATAAGTGTATGTAGGTAGGAAAATAAAGTAGCTGACAAATAATAATTAACTAAAAGACATTAAGTTCATTTGTGTACGGTGTCCAAAGTAGCAAAAGCTTCCTTGTTGGACACCGTCATGTTGAAATAATTGGCAGCAGTAAAGAGAGGAATTAATTCTCAAATAATATCAGTGATAGAAGATACAAGCAAGGTCAGATTTGGTTGCTTAGAAGACAGGGATTCCATTCTTTCTTAAACTTATGATATGGCAGGCACTTGAGACCAGGCGGTACAGTCTCCCAGATTTTAGGAGCGGAGAATTTAAAGGGAGTCTTACCTAAGTTGGTGGATACTCTTGGCCTAAAACAGTTCAGATTACTGACAAATCTTATATTATGATTGTGTATACGCGATGCTGGAGTCAGGATATCAAGGAAAATATCTATGTATAAAGCAACATATTTTTAATTTATATATATTATCTAATTTGAGGATTGTTAGAAGTTTGAAATAGGGAGCAGCACTCTCTCTAGGATGTACAAAGAAGATGGTGCGGAGACATTTGTTATGCTTAATACGAAGACAATCTAATCTGGTTTTGCTGGCACAGCCCCAAGCAAGAATACCGTAACTCAAATAGGGATATATTAAAGCATAATAAATTTGTTTCAGTATATTCAGATCTATGTCATATCTTAGTTTTGAAAGGATTCCTAAATTTTTAGCTAATTTATTATTTACATGTTGTATCTGTGGTTGCCAGTTGAGATGTTTATCTATATAAACTCCCAAGTACTTTATGTAATCTTTCTGTTCAATACCAGTGATATTTATCGTTGGGTGGCACCTAGATGATGAGACTAACATGTAATTAGTCTTTGCAGTGTTAATAGATAACTTATTTAGAGCACAGTAGTTATAAAGTTGTTTAAGCTCTTGATTCATTACGGATTCAAGCTGTTTTAAGTTGTCACTAGAATAAAATAAATTGGTGTCACCAGCAAAGCTCCGCACCGAAAGTTTGTCGACACAGTTTGGTAAGTCGTTCACATAGAGCAAAAATAAAAGAGGACGTAGAGTCGAGCCTTGTGGTATACCGCAGGTAATATTTTCATAGCTAGATTTAGTAGAGTCAGTTTTTAACATATTGTCTTCGATTGTGCAAATGACGTTCAAACCAGTTATGTGGTGCACCCCGAATTCCATACAGATATAGTTTAGAGAGCAGTATTTTATGATTTACTGTGTCAAATGCCTTTGATAGTTCGAGAAATAAACCACATGTTATTTGACCTTCGTCAGTAGCTAGCTTCAGATTGTCAGTAATTTCAAGAATAGCTTGTTCAGTGGAATATCCTTTCCCAAATCCAAACTGATATTTGTACAAGATTTGATGTTTATCTATGAACGAATATAACTGATTATAGACTAGACGCTCGAGCACTTTACTAAAAGGTGAAAGAGTAGCTATGGGCCGATAGTTGCTAGGGTCCGTAGCATCACCACCCTTATACACTGGGGAAATTTGTGAGACTTTTAAAATATCAGGAACAATTCCAGTTTCAATAGACTGGGTATAGATAAATGTTAAAGGTATTGACAATGGCTGGGCAGCTATTTTAATTAATTTATTAGGAATATCTGAGGATGACTTATGATCATTTAAACCTTTAAATAGTGAACATACTTGGGTTTCAGTAACACAGGACATAACGAAGCTAGCTACTGGAGTCGATCTTATGAATTGGGTCGGACTTCCATCACAATTTTCAATTCTTTTGGCCAGGTTTTGACCCACATTGACAAAATGCTTATTAAAGTGATCGGCAATCTCAGCCTTATTAGTGTAAGCTCTATTATTACGTTTAATTTTCGAGATGGGGGTTTGTCCCTTTGAGTTGCGCTTAACTAGCATACCAATCAATTTCCAAGATGCCTTCAGGTTGTTTTTACATAGGTCAAAGTGTTTTGAAAAGTAGTTCTTTGTGCAAATGTTCTTAAGCCAATTCAGTTTGTTAGCATACTTTTTATATTCCGTCACCTTAATTGGATTGTTAGAAAGAAAGTGTGTTTTGTATAATTTATGCTTAGTTTTGATTGATTTAAGAATACCATTAGTTATCCACGGCTTAGTACACAATTTCTGTTTCTTTTGGGACAATTGCCTAATTGGTGCATGTTTATCTGCAATTGATTTAATCAGGTCAGTTATTTTAGTAGCTGTCTCATGCAGATCATTTCTATAGATAGCATTCCAGTTGACTGCATTGATATCCTCTAAGTAAGATTCTTGATCAAAATTGCTGTAATCTCGATAATACTTAATAGGGTTGTGTTTCTTAACTGGTATATTTGTAACACAGACAACTGGGAGGTGATCAGAGATATCCACCATTACAATCCCAGAGACAATTTTGGATGTACTGTTGGCATAGATATGATCAATTAATGTAGCTGAATGATAGGTCAGACGTGTTGGTTTAGTAATAATTGGTAATAAATTATTGGAATATAGCATGTCAAGGTAAGCCTTTGTAGGTGGATGACTATCGCATTTAAAAAAGTCTATCTTCATATCACCAAGGATATACAATTGGCACTTGTTTCGGTTAAATAGCTTCATTGTTTCGTCAAGTTTCCCATTAAATTCATCAATATTCGCACCTGGATGTTTGTAGATACAGCCAACCAAGATGGGTTTTTGGTTTTTGGGAGTAGCTATTTCAACCCAAACAGATTCCACAAGGGGCATATCCAAAGTTATATCTGACCTTGGAAATGATGTTAAAGCTTTACTGACATAAAGAGCAACCCCTCCCGTTGGGGTGGGAGAATCAGCTTGGTAGATGCTATAGTTAATCAACTCAGTATTAAAAGTGGTATTTGCATTTAGCCTGGTTTCAGAAACTCCTAATACATCAAGTTGTTCACTTAAAGGATACAGCATATCTTCAAGCAAGCCAATATTTTTTGACAGGCTTCTAATATTACAGTGAAGAAATGAGAAGGATTTTGCTCCTGATTTACTTAGAACCTTATTCAAACCAGAAATATCATAGTAATCAGATTGAGGGTTAATTAATATATGATCAGGGTCAGCATCATCAGATTTATCAGGGTTGGGTAGCAAATTATATAAATCTAAATCTTTTAAATTATCTATCTGCAAGTGACAGGATCCATCTAGAATCTGAAATTCTCTGTCATCCAGGTCATGAAAAGGTAAAGCTTCCAGGCTATTTTGGGGATGATTGAGGTTGAACATGTATGTGTCTATAGGTTAGATATTATAGGGCACATAAGTGTCTACGACTGGAGTCGATTCGCCTACGTCTTATATGTCAGTTCGCTTACTATTCATATGTTGAAGCTTTAAATCTTAATTGTTTTTTTTTTTTGTTTTTTGTTTTTTTTTTAACAACAACATCTTTATTTCTTACATTAAATATACAAATATCACACCACCTGATATTTTGCTTAAAATGATTTAAGAAACGTGTGATTGTAAAACTGAACATTAAGATGTGTATAAAAATGAAATTAACCACCGTTTACGGTCTTTGTGTAGCCTTGTAAAGCGCGAGCAGCGCACTAAAGAAACCACTGTTTACGGTCTTTGTGTAGACTTGTAAAGCGCGAGCGGCGCTTAAGCTAAAGAACGTTAGACTTTTCATTAACTTATATACGAAATTAGCTTCGGCCTCACTTGACAGTCGGTTCAATTTCTACGTCGATTTTGCGACTTGTTAAATCTTCTAACTCTATAAACTAGTTTATGTATATAATGTGTCCGGGTATTCTGAAGTTGCTCCGTTTGCGTACTTTCATCTAACTTAGCAAGATGACAAATAATAAATAAAGTTAAAGCGTTCTTTGTGTAGACTTGTGACTTGAGCGGCGCTCATACTAACGGAGGAGGGAGTTTTCATTAACATACATAGTACTTACCACAAAATTAGCTTGTTCACACTACACAGCTTGATTTAACTTTTTATTTCGATGTTGCGGCTTGTTGAATCGGTAATCATAGTCATATACTTGGGACTGAGTAAGATAAATAAACGTGCGTTTTCACGTTTGGACTTGGTTCAAATAACAGGGGTGATGAATGGTCCATTAAAATTTTTAACCGCTCGCAAAATTTTACCTTTGCTCGATTTGCTCGCAAAATTTAAACGAGTGCTCGCTTGCTCGTACTCTCAAAATGTTTGTAGTTGCTGCCTGTTATAATATTGTAATTTTCACGCTCTGTGTTGAACTAGACTCATTATATATTCAGTTTCGTTTGTACCTTCGGGGGCACTTGATAGAGATTAAAATGTCTGTTCAGTAACCGCTTGAACGTGTGGCTCGCTGCGTTATCACATGGTGGCAGCGGTGGCCGCTTCTGCTTCGTTTTTTTTGTTTTTTTTGTTTTTTTTTAACCGTCTACGTTATACAGCATGCCCGGTGGTGATACCTCCAATGGACAGTCTGGTGCAGTAGCGCCGCCATCGTCGACTTTTCATCAGATTACTCCGCCGAAGTACCTTGACTTGAAACATAGTGGAGAAATTGCCGAAAACTGGAAGCTTCTGGAAGGAGAAATATAACAATTATTTTGTCATTTCTCGTTTGGATCGGGAAACCCCGAAGTTTCAATTGGCGATGTTCAAACATACGATCGGAGATGATGCGTTGAAAGTCATCAAAACATTCAACTACGCCGAGGGGGTGAACTCGAGTGATTGGCGCATTGTAATGGGAAAAATGGAGAAGCATTGCATCGGCGAAGTCAACGAAATTTGCGAATGATGCTGTTTTAATATGAGAGACAAGCTTCCAACGGAGTCGATTGATAGTTTTGTTGCCGAGTTGAGGAATCTGGCCAAAACATGTAATTTTTGCGATTGTTTGCGGGATAGTTTAATCCGTGATCATATTGTCCTCGTTTTTAATTCCAAGCACAATAGAAACACAAAGACACGCGAAGATACACACAAACAGGCACCTCCAGGTACACGCATGGAAACATTCGACCAGCCGCCCAATCCGTTGTCTTCGGTGCCGGACGCACCTAAGTCGCCCAATCCTTTACAGGCACCGAGAAGGTCCACGCGCGTCCGTCAGTCGCCCAAGCGTCTACAGGACTATGTGCTTACTTAGGCCTAAGAACTCTTTCCAAAGAACTGAATTTCATTAATACCGTATTTATTCGATTAACCGCCCTGGGCGCTTATTAAATTTTTGTACCTTGAGAGTGGGCGCTTATTCGAGGTGGGCGCTTATTCGAGGCTGGGCGCTTATTAAATTTTCACCATTTTCAGCAAGTCTAGTATGTTGATTTCGCAAGAAAACAATAAATGCTAATAACAAAACGAGAAGAAGTAACAAAGCAAGGTTTCTGTAAAATACTCTGAAGAAAACTCCGTCCTCAGGGAAGTCTCTTATTAGAATTTATTCACTCAAGTAGGTGGGGTAGAGGTGAGCGCTTATTTGAGTTTGATTGGGATGGGGAGGGGGTGGGCGCTTATTCGAGGCTGGGCGCTTATTAACTTTTTCTGCCTTTAGGACGGGCGCTTATTCGAGGTGGGCGCTAATTCGAGGTTGGGCGCTTATTCGAATAAATACGGTATGTGCTTAGTCGTTTGTTTTGGTTTCACGTGTTTTTTTTTTTCCGTTAAGTTGTTTTCTTATTTCTCTATAAAAGGAAGGGTGTTATAATATTGTCATTTTCACGCCCAGTGTTGAATTTCATTTCCACGTGCTGCTAGACTCATTATATATTCAGTTTCGTTTGTACCTTCGGGGGCACTTGATAGAGATTAAAATGTCTGTTCAGTAACCGCTTGAACGTGTGGCTCGCTGTGTTATCACACTGGCAACCTCGCTTTCTTGTAAGTATTGCTCGAAATTGTGTAAATCCTTCGTTGGGTCAAAGTAAATGTAATTCTGTATGGTGCTTGATTCCTATAAATATGACGATCAAGTTCAGTGGAAATGCACGCGATAAATGACAACGATGAATAATAAATCAGCTAATCTAGCTATATATGGTTATTTATGTTTGTTATATACGGTTGCATTGTTTATGCAAAATATCTGGCTCATAAAAGGATAAACTAGTAATAGTTGACACTACAGCTGCCCCCGCTCTATAAATTGCCGGTCAATAGCATTCTTGCTCGTTGTGTAGCTCTTTGAAATATACCGATTCATAAGGAAGATTTTCACTCATATTCCATACAATAGGTGAGATAAATATAGGAAACGCAAGGTTCCATGCACAGTTTCAGGTCGATTTACACATCTTTGATCAAAACATTCTCAGTTCCGAGAATAGTTTATTCTAAACCAGAAGAAAAGATTCAATTAGCAGTTGAATTTTTCGCTATTTCTCTTTCACTTTTTACATTCAGTTCATTTTATTTGCCGGAAAGGAAGTCTTAGAAATTAAAAGGACGTTTGATCCGTTCACACTCGCGCATTCTAGTCTTATTTTAAACTTTATAGCGGAAGGACATCTGTGAGCAGGGAATAAGTCAGCACAGAATTTGATTGTCGGCGAATTTCTGTAATCGTCCATTGTTCTGCTAGTGAGAAGCTAGCCGTTGTTCACTCGTCTTGCTTGTTTGGGGCTGAGTCTTATTCCGGTCAAAGACAGAGAAAGAGTGTCTGGCAAGGTTTCCAATGAAAGATTTGTGAACTGGCGTCTGGCAAACTCTCCAAGTGTTTATATATACACAGTTATACGCACCTTATAACTTCTTCTGCGCTTAACAAGTGTCGTTAAAATTTTGGGCCATAACTTTCACTGAAACAACTGCTCCACAGAATGTCACTGATCGAACGTAACGCAAAAGAGTGTCGAAGTATGACTGCACAATAAATGTCACAAAATCTACCTGAGAGGTCCCTTGGGGATGTTCTGTCTTTACGTCATCCTAACCATTTCGTGCTTGCGGGCGCAAACAACAGAAACGTCATCATTACCTACCGATTCCTGATCATTCCTCGCGGCCCCTGTTCAAGCAAATCGAGATTTTTTTCTATATTGACTGTATGACTGTATATTTCAACTGTAAGTACTTTCCTGAATATACGCGCGAGTTACTAGAGTGCCTCCTCGGGATTTCGCCTTCTGGGGCGAAATCCCTGCGGGGGCAATGAGCACAAACATGCTTGGTATTTTTTTGTTTTACAACAAGAGGAGTCATTTGCGATATTTGCGTCTAGCAGTCGCATTTGGCCGATACGCATATGCTGCAAATAAATTCACCCTCGGCGCTAACGGTTTTTAAAAGTCGTTTAGAAAAAGATAAGGCGTATATGCTAACAAGGAAAAAATTAAACAATTCTGCTTTTGTGTACTGGATGGTATCCTGGGCAGGGACGGACTCTCTCACGATATCTGATTTTTCTTCATTAACCTGCGATCAGGCGGTCCTTAGATTTTCCCATTTTCTTTGGGAGGCCTGATCGCGGGTTATTTCTATATTTGCTACGTCAAACGTAAATAAGAATCGTTTTCATTGTCTCATCGAGTGCCATATAAATACGATAATTTATAAACAGAAAAAGAACAACATTGTATATCTCTTCTCCTACAAATTAGGAAAGACGGCCGGAAGTCTCCACGCATCATATCCCGCAATTTCGTCTCCTAAGCCTTGTGGGCTTACCGGACGTTTCGTACCCAGGCGATTCGTACCCAAAGTTGAGATGATTCGTACCCATCGCTAAGATGATTCGTACCCAAAGCTTAGATGATTCGTACCCATGCAATAACAAAGTCTTTATGTTGTAAACAGTGTGTTTTCATAGTTTAAGTTAAGGCTTTCACTAAAACAAAGGATCGAAACCGCAGAACGAACCACAAGACAGGACGTCCTGTGGAGATAGTGGGACGAGACAAATATCTTTGTTTACGTCCGAATTTGCTACATGTCTGAACGTCGACTAATCGAAGACTATTTGAAGAGCGATAGCATAAGAAGAATACGACAAGGTTAGTGACACAAGCCCCGCCGAACACAAAATAAAAAAAGAGTGACTTACAGAATTCGCATGTTTGTGAAAAGAGCAGTCATATATTTTAAAGGAAATCCTAACTGATACTTATTACAAGAGGGGACATGTGAGTTGTCCGAGTGACACCCGCCCCTTGATTAAACACAATCAAGGAATAATATATAATATATATAATATATATAATATACTATATACTGATTATTTCTTTAAGTTTTAAACTAGTCAATTTTGCTTAACCTACTTACTGGATTTGCAATTTCTAATGTACTGTATGTTTGAGATCGATATACTGATTATTAAAAATACCTTAACATTATCTACAATACAACTGTAGCTAATGATGAAATAAATCAAGTTACGTATTCCTTCAATAGCCTGCGAAAACATCTGTTTCTCCTCGCTAGGAGAAACGGATGTTTTCGCAGGCTAGTCCTTCAAGTACTTTAGACGATCACTGGTCTATTGATGTTTGCGCAGCCTTTCAGTAATTGCTTAAGGGATTTCTCTCTCTTGTTAAATGCCTCCCACAGCTCAAAGAGCCGCCTTTGTAACTGGCGGTAGGCGGCTCTCTGGATCCGCTTCAGCTTGCGCTCAGACACAAGCCGAATCTGCAGTGACACCAGGCGGGCCTCGTTGTGTAGCAGGGACACAAGCAAGTAGAAGGGAAGTCCACAGCGGCCAGCAGCTCTTCGGTTCAGGGCGTGATGCCAGCCTTCTATGTCATTATTTGTTCTTGCTGACAGCATAAACACGCTCCAGCACTTAGGGGGCCATATTCTGCTGTTTATCCAGGTCTCTCCGATGAGGTGCAGAGATTTCAAAGACTTGAATATATTACTTTATTTAATGGTGTTATTTACTTTATTGAATAATTGTCTCTTAAACTTATTTACCTTAAGTAACTTATCGGTTACAAAACATTCAATTCATCTCTATTTCATTTCTGTAAGGCTGTTTAAGTAAACGACAGTTAACTAAAACTTTTAATCCTTTCCGATACCTTTCATTTAATATTATATAAACCCACGGGTTTAAAGAAGCATTCAAATAAAGCAAGAATTTCATGGCTGTAAATAGTTTTGTCGTTGCACATGTATCTCGCCCATCCCACAAAAAATAATGAACAAGTGCTAAAATAGTTATTGGAAAAATGCACAAGATGAACAGAAAGACAATGATCAATATCTTGTTGACAATGGCTCTGTTTTCTTTCTGCCTCTGTCGCCTTATTCTTGATGTTCCATTTTCAGTAGGATCTTTTTTCTTTAGTTCTATAACTATCAGTGCATATAAAGTTAGAATCACAATTAGGGGAAAGAAAATTAAAAAGATGGAAACGAAAAGAAAGTATCGTTCTTGTGTATGCTCTTCAAACTTCGGTGCCCAGCAAAAAGTGCAAGACCACTTTTGGCCTGTCTTTACCAGCCGCGCGGTATAGAAATAAGTTCCGTTTAGACCCATCGCCACCATCCAAATAACCACAATTATTACCTTACAGACCTTGGATGTAATAACTGGAGGACGGAATGGAAAGACGACTCCCTGATATCTGTCAACTGCTATGGCTACCAGGCTTTGTATAGATACTGCCGTTGAAACGTCTTGGAGAAAGTAGACCAGCTTACAAGATATTGAGCCTGCTAAGCCATCGAGAAGCCATATCTTTGAACCAGCAAAAATTTCCGCGAGTTCTCGTGGTACTGCGAAGGCAGAGATTAATAGATCAGAAGCGGCCATGTTAGCGATCAGATAATTCGTTGTCGTCCGCATCCTTTTGTTTTTTGACACGATTGCAATTACAGCTAAGTTTCCAAGCAGCGAAGTTAACATGATCGACGAGTAAGCGACTGTTTTGATGCATTTCACCAAAGTCGAGGCCTGCTGGCAGATTCTCTCCGACGTCGAGTTGGTGTAATTTTGGTATTCCATGACTGGTCGACAGACAAATAATCTCCCCCAAAGATGTTCCAAAAGTGGCAAAAAGCGAAAACCAACCGTCGTACATATATTGTTGTACAAAGACACCTGACACATGCAAATTTAGATCATATTAGCTTAACACAGTAAACCATTTCGCACTTAGAGAGATTTTGCCCGTTAATGCTTTTTCTTATCACCCCCACTAACAAATTAAGTATGTGATCAAAGAAAAAATGATGGTATTCTATATTATAACATTAGCACATTAACAAATGTCAGTCGTTAAATTGTGAGGGAAAAAAGGTCGCTAGTGAGTTTTTTGCCAGTGGATTGGCTGAACTTTGTTTCTGTCAAGTTGTATGTTACACTTCAGAAGATACTTCAATCTCTTTTTATCAGGGTGGAATTGTTATGGTATCAGTATAAAGATAACCAATGAAATGGTTTCAGGATAAGTATGTAGGCAGGCCCTCGCTGATCTCATATTGCTTCCAGTTAAACTTTCCATAACAAGACGAAAAAGATAATCTCTTCTAAGTGGTGTTGCCAGAAAAATGGGGTAAAGTGGAAACCTTTAACCGCTCATCTATTTGTAGCTAAAACACACATTCCATGTACCGATAAAGCTATTGTATGGATAGGATTAAACACTAACCGAGAAATTTTTCTTCATCGATCTGGTTCTTTTCACAGCCATCTGATTTTGTTATGTGATAGAGAGCGCGAAAGAGATTATAAAAATCCAGTGGACCCATTATTCTCTTTGGATACAAATATTTTTGCTATATTTCTATATGTTTTGTAGCGAAGGTGAATTTCAGAATTTGAAGTGTGAAGCGAAAAGGATGGGAGCGACATTTTTACCACTGATATCGCATATTATCGTGGTACTTACAGTTTTGGATTATTCCTGCTGTCGGTTATTATTCACAAGATATACTTCAATTTGTGTTCACCAAGGCTGTATAAGGAATGTCACTTAATTAATAAAGACAACCAATGAAATAATTCCATGATAAATCAAGGCCACACATGGAAACCTAAGTGGAGCAGCTGACTAAGTAGATATTCAGAAGTAGAGTGAAAAATAGTACCTTTCCCGAAGCAATACAATCTACTTATTTAAAACTACACTCTTGCTGCTATGGCCTTCAATTCCTGCGAATGTGTTAATGATAAACGAGCTCAGTTGCTTGTAGTACCACAAGAAAGATGATTATTCCAACACTGATAGTTAAAACTCAAGTTGTAAATAAGAACTAATCTGTTAAGTGCTTCCAAACTTGACAGTTTAATTGTAAAATAAGGATAAAAAGGCCTCGCGTCCGCACGTATCCGAATATTTTTGAAAAGGAAGAATTTTTTTCCCCCGTTTTAGCCTTCTGTCCACACTTTAAAGGCACTTTTGGGCACCAAAAACGAAGGTTTTTGAGAACTGTTCTTAGAGAGGGCTTTTTAACGCGTTCCTGACGTCGCCGGATTGTCGTTTTCGTGTGGACGGACAAAAACGCGCCTTAGCTTCTGAAAACGATGATGTCATACATCGTAAACAGCACGCTCTATAGGGGACGCTATAAGCTATATATAAGTCGCTACGTCACGTTGCCATGGTAGCAAAATTATTCAGTTTCAATTAATTTGTCGAGTGGATGCCCACTTTTCTTGAAAACAGACAAGAAAAATTAAAATTTCCCTGGTTCAAAAATAACAGGATACAGTACGTGTGGATGAGGTCTTAGTAGAAAACGCAAAACTGAACGGTAACTGGGGTACGAATTAGTTTTTTTTTTTTTAAAGTATATATTGATGCTCCTGATTGATGAAACGCCAAATCCCCTTACAAAGCATTTACTAAAACTTCAAGAAAAAGACACTAACAGTTCAAACATTTTAAGCGGACTAGTAGAAATGTCAAGCAAGTTGATATTTCAGCCGACACAATTAGTCAGACTGGGTGATCAAAGCTTCTTTGTTTACACGAATCAAACTGAAAATTAACAATCACTGTCTGCGGCTAATTAAAAGTTCGGTAGAGAGCCATGCCTAAAAGATGAGATAACTTTAAAAAATTTCAATACCAGAAATATTTTTCAAGATGTTAAACAACATGTAAAACGTGAGGAGCCTATTACTCTGAAGGCATTTTTATTTACATTTTGACTTACATTCAACATTCATGTCAGTTCGTTGCGAATTCACAGTTTTTTTCATTTTATTAGTATAATTATTATTATATTTCTTGTTTGGGGAGATCACGATTTCACTCCACGCTACAGCAGTCCATATTTGATTTCCAATTTTTTATTATTAACGAACTGTACGGCTGTAATAGATTTACGAGATAGAAGAATATGGCTTATCTGAATACATTTTTCAACATTTATATTTCGCAGACAATTCTGCTGAGAAAGGACAGTTCCGTTTATCTTTCTTGCAAAGATTATCTGCTTCTTCCATATGCAAAACATTTATTTTTCTTACTATATTTACATTTCTTACTTTTAGTAATAAGTAATTATCTATATTTCTCACAAAAAATGAAATTGCTGTTTGTTTGATAGCCCAATAGTAAAGAATAGCTTATTAGAAGAACACATTTGAAACTATCTGCAGATGCCCTAGCGAGAACTACAGGCGGCCATTAAATTTGAGGGAAATTAGGGCAGAAGTATATTTTTGGAGTAGTTATGCCAAAAGACGCCAGGATATTGAAAGTTAAACTTCCGAAGTTAATTATTTAAGACGACCTGTACTTACTTTAAAGTTTCCTAAGGAAGACTCTAGTTTATTTTTTTATCTTTTCAAATGACAATTGTAGGGATGGAGTGATAATTTATAATCCTAATTATGAATACGTTTAGCAAGGAAGTGAAGATAATACTAGTAAGTAAATAAATTAAAAGCAAATTTTATAGAAATATATCTCAAGCCGATTCTTAATACGGGCATGCATCGAAGAAGGTAATTCATCAAAAAAAGGCCTTTTGAAAAAGTTGGACTTGTGATCGACTGTCTGTAAACACAAAAACAATTCTTTTGTAAAAAAATATCTCAAAAGTAGCAATTGCAATGGTTGCCGTAAATGAGAGGGATTTGTATTGGCTTGCGTAGGAAGGGTTTCCGCGGAGGTTCGTTGGAAACGCTGTAATGCGCAAGGGAAAGATTCAAAGACAGTTTGAAAATTTCAAAATCAAGATTTGAATGGGAAGCCCCTGAACCGCGACTGGGGTGGCAAGAGTTGTTTTTCACTACATATCGAATACCGCAAAATTCCGAAAATAATCCCCTCTATGTATAAGCCCCTCCAAATATAAGCCCCCCAAACCGGTAACGTAAAAAACCGTCCGTTAAATCGCCCCTCCAAATATAAGCCCCCTGGGGGCTTGAAATTGTAAAATTGCCCTCAAATACAAAGTAAAACAAAGCAAAAATGGTAAATTTACATCCAACTATGAGGGTAGCCCAATCGATTTTGAGACGCAAATTTCCCTCCATAGAGAAGCCCCTCCGAATATAAGCCCCTCCAAAAATAAGCCCCTCAAAAAGGGCGTTTGAGAAATATAAGCCCCGGGGCTTACTAGTTCGGAATTTTACGGTACCTTCTATTTGGCGGCCGTTGCAATCGCTACTTTTTAGATATATACCGCTGAAAATTTACGGGTTACCTAATTTTTATATGGTCTTTTAGTTCCTGCTTAAATCATTTTGTTCCAAAAGTATTGTTTTCGTGTTAACAGAAAGTTGATTACATGCCCAACTATTTAAAAAAGGTCTATTGACTAGTTTGATTGACAACAGAAATAATAGTCCATTTGAAAGCAAAGCCAGGGGTTTTATAACTACTTGCAAATCTTACAAAGTCAAAAGCATCAAAAACTGAAATGTTTATTTAAGGTAAATTACGTCTAGACTGCGATTGCTTAACTGACCCTGAAAAGCTCCTGTATGTTTCAATAAAGCATTTAGGTATGTTTCAATAAAGCATTTATGTATGTTTCAATAAAGCATGTCGGTATGTATGTTTCAATAGAGGATGTATTGCTTGTTAATTATTAAAATTGAAAGAAACATACTGCAGAATAACGTTCGAAATGGTCTACGTTACAGACAGACGCACTAAGATGAATTTAGACAAAAACCCAAGTTAGGAAGAGGAGAAGGGGAAAGCAAGGCAAAAGGAAAATTAAAGAATTTATTTTAATACCTAGAAACAAAACCAAATGATTCACTCCTTTGACTAAAGGGTGGCTTTAGTTTAACAAAAGTCTCAGAGATTCACGCGCATGGATAATTTGATTCGGACGAGAGGAGTGACCATTCGTTATTCTCGTCGTGGTCAACTGTAATTACAAAATAAGGTGACTATGATTTTCATCATTCTAAGTTGAAGAAAAAAATGATTAGAAACTTACCACTTGTGTTCCTTAAAACTGCTTCTGTACTATGATTGCTATTTTTCGCTAGCAGTTTGATTTGTCTGATTTCAAAAAGGTGTTAAATTATTTATAAAAATTAAAACAGCGTTATATGACAACTGTTTTGTCGCTACACTTTGTCGAGACAAGCTAATAGCCTGCGAACCCAGCGGCGGAGGTATACGTATGGGTTTGCAGGTTCCCGAGTTAATGATATTCACATAAAAATGGACTGAAAACGTAAAATGAAAATTGTAAGGGGAGATCTTTTTTGCCTTTCAATTTATATCTAGCAAGTGCTTTCAAATCTTCGCTTTGAACACTGTTACTTCACACTAGAGCTTGTAAGTATAATCTAAGGGCACTTGAAATCTACTTTGAGTGTCACTTTAACTTTACTTAGTGATAGTGGAAACATTATTTTGTCTGTTTTGTAGTTCAAAGAAGCCGAAGTTCTCGGCCAAGTATGATCTACACCACACTTGGCCAATTGAC